GGCGACTTTCTCCACCCGCCCAACAGCGCCATATTTGCTCGTCGTACTAGTGTCAGCGCAGAGAGTATTCCCATCGAGGATGATGCTCTCTACGCTCACAACTCCTCGAAACCTCCATACCATCCCAAAACACCTCTCCAGCTCTCTCGCATCCGACAATCCATATCCACAAACTTTATCTTCCGCGACCTCGACGAGGAACAGGAGACCGGAGTCCTGAATGCGATGCAGGAGGTTCGAGTAGGGCCGGGCGAAGAAGTTATTAATCAAGGTGATGTGGGAGAATATTTCTATGTGGTGGAGAGTGGTATGTTGGATTGCTATATTCGGGCGGAGCCAGGGGCACAAGCACCAACGCCCGCGCCCAACCTCTCAGACGAAAATCTGGAAGGGTCTCCTTACCCGCCACCCGTCGCCACTCACCCAACCTACGGAACTCTCGTCTCCATCTGTCCTCCTGGATCCTCTTTCGGCGAACTTGCATTGATGTACGGCCATCCTCGCGCCGCAACCGTCGTCTCTAGAGTACCTTCCCTCCTCTGGGCCCTGGATCGAATAACTTTTCGTACTATCATCCTCAAGGCTGCTTATCGTCGCCGGACGATGTATGAGCGGTTCTTGGAAGGTGTAGGACTGCTACAAGGCTTGACAGGCGAGGAACGAAGTAAGATTGCAGATGCATTGGTGAGCCGATCCGTGGAGGATGGTGAGAGAATTGTACAGCAGGGCGAAATGGGCGATACGTTCTTCTTTGTCGAAGAAGGTGAAGCTGTCGTGACCAAGCGTGTACCGCGGCGGAGAGCCGCGGGCGTGGAAGCCAATTCAAACTCTTCAGCCAACGACGATGACACTGAAGAAATCGTCGTGGGACACCTCATTAAAGGTGATTACTTTGGCGAACTGTCGCTGTTGAGGCTCGCTCCGAGGGCGGCGACAGTGAGTGCTGTTGTTAGAAAGCCTATTACGGTACAGCAGGGAGAGGAAGGACATGCCACTCCCACGTTGAACGTTACCCCGTCTTCGCCTGCTGTAGGGACACCGCCTTCTTCTTTCCCTCCTCCCGCGATATCTGCGGATATCTCCGATCCAGCCACTACCACTCGTTTCCCTCCGAAACTCAAAGTAGCCGCTCTCGACGCTCCTGCATTCACGAGGCTCCTCGGTCCCCTAAGGGAGATTATGGAGAGGCGGGCGGGTGAGAGTTATTTGATGTGAGTTAGGCCAAAGCCAAAAGATGAAGAGAAGTTGAAAGTTTGTATCAAAAAAAGTCTGTCTGTTCGTCTTCTTGTATTTATTGTAGTATCATTTTCTTGGATATATTGTGGTTTTCATGGCTTAATTTACCGAGCGATTTGGCCGGTCAAGTACGCTATCTCGAATCTTTTGTTGGATTCTATCAGCAACGGTGAATCACTGGTTCAAGGCCGTCCTATGACGAACCAATGGGTTATGTAAGCTCTTGGCGCTTGATACCTTTTTTGGGAGGAAATGACGTCGTGTTTTTCCGAGTAAATTGCGTGGCATTCTGCTCCGATGACGATGACAGAAAACTTGGGTATTTAAACAGTTCAGAGTTGGGCTAAAGTTATTAAATAAAACAACCCACTACTACTAAATCATGTTCAACAAAAACAACAACACAACTGCTGCTAATCACACCAGTCGCGACACAGCTCTCGGTGCTGGAGTCGGTGGTATCTTGGGCCACAAAGGCCATAAAGGACACACCGCTCGCGATGCCGCTATAGGGGCTTTCGGTGGCCATGAACTAGGCCATCACGGAAACGGTACCGCTCCAGGTACTCACGGTAACCGCGATGGACTCCTTGGCGCTGGTGCTGGTGCTGCAATAGGGCATGGCAGTGGCCGTGAGTAGCATACCTATTTCTTCTACGTGAACCGACATCTAATCATTGTCGTTGTATAGATGGTATGAGGGACGCTGCCATTGGCGGAATTGGCGGTGAAATGCTTGGTCGGCATCAGGGCAAACACGCCCATAACCGTGCTCCTGTAGTCGCCCCAGTCGCCCCTATTGGTGCCACCGGTGCAGGAGCAGTGACTAATTCCGCCCCAAGCAAAACACACGGAAAGATGAAGGAGGTTGAGGGAAAAGTTGAACGAGGATTAGGGAATGTTGTTGGAAGCGCTTCGCTAGAGTAAGTTGAGAACGATGTTCTCTGTCGAATTTACACTGATATATCCATTTTTCAGGATCAAGGGTGAAAACAAGATCATCGCTGGTCAGCGCGAACAGGCTGCAGTTACGGGCCACCATCAAGCTGATATGCTCGAAGCACAGGCTGCAAATCACAGAAATCGGGCGGATGCGTTGCATCCGACTGGTGGTCGTTACTGATTGAAGGAAGAGAAAGAAATATCTTGGATTATTACTATTACTATCTACATCATGATATCTTCGTACTAATGTAACCGACATACTCAACTAATAATACTAGCGAGCTTGAGCACGACGTCTTTGTGGTTCTCTCTGTGCATCAGTACATTTTTCACATCCGAAGGACATATGAACAGCAACATCCAGATACACATCCATTTCTTATAGTCTGTCACTGCGAGGAAGAAGCGCACCATTCTGGGGCAGAGCTTGATTACCATCCATGCTTGTTTGCTTCAGTGGATCTTGTCAGAGATGAGGCCAGTCAAGAATTCCAGGTTGTCGCAAGATGATCGTTCACGACCATCTGTAAGCTGTATCTATAATAGAGAATCAGCGATGTAGCTCATGACCAGGAAATTACTGCGAACGTTACGCGCGCAGTAAACCCACCTGGAATGGATTTTAGATTACACAGCTTAGCGAAGCTAATGATCGCACCAGATTCCAAAGTTCTCCAGACCCAGGTACGGCGTAGTTTGTCGTTTTGCCTGGTCTGAGCGCGTTCGGAAGCAGCGTGGATTCAAGGTATCTAGAAAATCTTTGGCATCTGTGGAGATCCCTGGCTTTTTTGAAGGTTGGATTGAAGCTTCACAATTTGAGAAATGGCTGAAAAATGGTCGAATATTGGTAATTCGGCAATTTGACCGAATTTGACCGTGGCTTGATTAGCGCTCGCGACCCTCCGGCTAACTGTTTTCGTTACTTGTTCGGAACCAGATTCGGGGACTAATATAGCCCAGTCGTTAACTGGCATGTACTTGCCACATCCTATTCCAAATCCATCTTGCCATGCCCACTCAGCATCGTACAACTGTACCTCAACGTCCTCTACGAACAATCAAACTTGTAGTCATTGGAGCTAGTGGTGTAGGCAAAACGAGTTTGCGCGGACAGTACATCTCAAATCGGTTTTCGACGGGTTATAGAGCGACTATTGGCGCTGATTTTGTTACCAAGGTTGTCAGAGTGGACGAAGGAGAGAGTGTTGTGTTGCAAATATGGGTACATGCTTCTATCTTGTATTTCATCCAAAAAGTCAACTCACTCCGCGTAACAGGATACAGCTGGCCAAGAACGATTCTCGTCTCTATCGTCTGCGTTTTTCCGCGGTGCAGATGCTGCGATACTTGCGTTTGATGCCTCGAATCTGGACGAGACGTTAGGGGCGTTGAAGAAATGGTGGGAGGAGTTCAAAGTTTATGCACCAGTGGATGAAGAAAGTAGGAACGGGAGTAGGAGTATAGCTACGTTTTGTGTGGCTTTGGTTGGGAATAAGGTGGATTTGATACAAGGGGAAGGGAGAGTTAGGAAGCATGAGCAGGCGAGGAGGTTTATGGATATACTGGTTCCGCCAGAGCTGTACGAGGAGGCTGAGCTTGAGAGCGATGAAGAGGAAGAGGAAGATATTCTGGCAGCTTCCCAGCTCACTGCGAGACCTACCGCTCACCAAATGCTAAAAACCCCTTCACCCCCTGCGAAATCGAAATTTATTGGCCACAGCTCGTCGTCTCGTTCGTTGTACACGTCGAGTTCAATTTCGGGCCTTTCAATATATCATACTCCTTCATCGTCGGTCTATGGTTCTGGATCAGTCAGGACTTCAAGCCCACTGCGTCGTTCTCTTGACGACCTGGCTTGGATTGGTTCGTATCCACCTAGACGTCCTGCTCCCCCTCCTCCCCATCTAATAGTAGGAAGTATCGCTAGTCTCGAGTCTGGGCAGGCAAGTGCAGTAACGCTGACACCTACCAATTGGGATACATTCAAACATGACGAGGGAAATCGTAGAACGCGATATGCCTCTATCAACTCGGTATCCTCTTCTGTTTCTGCTGCCGAGTCGTTTTATTCCGCGTTTTCGACTCGCGATTCTTCACATCTTTCTCCACAACTATCTCCGTCGGGGACTTTTCATTCTCGCGTTAGGACTCGATCCTTGTCGCCCTCTCCAAAGCCCAACTCCGACCTCCCGTCCCGTCCCGATTCCAAACAAATATCTCCGCCAACACAGCTTCACAGTACTCTCGTTCCTACAAAACTACAACTTCAATCTCCCAAACCACCAAAACCACCAAAACTCGACACTGGTCCCCGCCTCTTCTTCGCCTCTGCGAAAACAGGTCAGGGTGTACCTGAAGTGTTTGAGTATATCGCGAAGAGGGTGGTTAGAAGGTGGGAGTGGGAGGAGTCGGTGGAAGCTGAGGCAATGCTGGAATGGGATGCGAATAGAGGTGCTGGTAAACCCCACCAAGCGCAGAATGGTCATGCCGGAGGCGGTAGTGTGCATGTCATCTCCAATGCGCACGGAGGGGTGGATCAGAGCGTTGCGAGTCGGATAGGTATCGGCCAGGCACAGAGTGGTGTTGTGAACTTGATGGGCACTGTGAGTTCGATGTTTGGGACGAGCGGTGCCAGTGGGGCAGGGAGTTGTTGTCCGTGACTGCGAGATTATTTGTATTGGGATGTCGTTTGGTTTTGGCCTTCCGTTCGTATGTATATATGTGTATGTATACTTAATCTTATCGTTTAATATTATTCAGGCAAAGTAGGATATGAGGAATGGCGGATTATAGCCATGTATTTATCAATTGACAACGTCGGTCCAATAGTGTAGAGGTTATCACACGGGATTCTGATAGTCATCTATGTTGGCTTCCCGTGACCCAGGTTCGAGTCCTGGTTGGACCTTGAACTTCTTGAGAATCGGTTTGCTCTTTTACTTTTAGCCACTAATGCACAGTTCGCTGGTCGTAACTAATATTCGGTCGACGGAGAAGTGAGAGGACTAGAAATCCCAGATGAAAGCTCCAATAAACAAGTTCATCTGTAGAGAATGCGTCTGTCATGCCTTTTGCCAGTGGCGAGCTATTGGCTTTTTGCAAGCTTTTTGTATATCTTTTCCTAGAACTTGACAGTGTAGAGTCAATGGCCGGGGAGAATGAGTTTGTAGCGCGTTTACTTCGAGAACTGAATTCAAACATGACCGGAGGTGGCCCTCAAGTTGAGCTGTATGGTTATTTTTGCGGTCACTCAGCATGGAGTGTGGGCCAAGGAAAGAGAGCCGAGAGGTTTTTTATCTTGTCAGAGAAGTTTGGGCCTCGTGAAGTCTAGAACGAGATTGTACTACTGGAGGGTCTTTGTGTGTAATCAGGCCGCCAACAAGGGAGTTGAAACATAATTAGGGCGTTTTGACCCATTCTAACTAGCACAAATACAAGGCAACGAGGAAGCACAGGTAAGTATACGCCTTGGAAGCAGGAACTAGTAGGGCTTAGTAGTTGATGATTTGCGGCCAGATTGTCGGTTTAGTTGACTACGGCGTCCTATCCAGTGATTTCACCCCAACCTCGGCTTTTTTCTCGTTGTCCCATGCCCGTGACTACGAGTTTTGGCTGATCCCTGCGGGACGTATGCACCTCCTCGTTCTCCGCTGCTCAAACTACCATTATTGGACTTCGACTGTGGGGCGCCTGGGAGCTGCTGAGAGGAGCCCGACGGTTGGCTGCCAAACGGAGGACCGTTGACTGGAGGAGTAAAATGGAACATTAACAACAGAAAAGTCCTCTAATGACATTGATTTACTGACCTTGGTTATTCCCCGACTGACCCACTTGCATTGGTGGAATGGTCATTGACATGCTCGGCGCGTCATCTTGGGTTATTCGACGATGGGGAGGGATTTGATTCGCAGCAACTGAGGCGAATGCACTGTTATCAATATATGAGAGTGAGGGGGTAGTAAATAGATGGAGATCTGACTGACTTGACCGTCGGCAGCGGATCCTCTTTGAACCAGGAATGTCCGAGCGCCTGTAGTGCTGTGAGCCGACGATCAGGATCGTACATGAACAGCTGTCGGAGGAGATCGTATCCAGCCTGAGAACGGATACGGGATTGGCACCAGTCGTGTAAACGGTTGGGGTATGTATCGAGGCGTTTGAGGGATGAGTATTCGGGCAGATAAGAGGCAGAAGGCCAGTCTTTTTCTAAAATTGGATTAGATGAGAGAAGTCGCGAGAAAGGAACACGTACCACTAGGACTACCCAAAACCTCGAATATTCTCAAAAGTTGATCCCGTTGGAAGGGTACATTCTTCTTCGAATCTAGTTTAGCCTCTTCACCCTTGAATATTGGCCTCAGGCTTGCTAATTCCGCAAGGACACATGCGACGGCCCAACAGTCTATACTGTTGTTGTAATGCTTCGCACCCAAGAGTAACTCTGGGGCACGGTACCAGATCGTGACCACGACCTTGTCTCCGGCGAAAAGTGGTTGGAGGGGCTGTAACGACAGTCGTGCCAGACCAAGGTCCCCAATTTTGACTTGACCAGAAGATGTAATGAGGATATTGGCTGGTTTCAGATCTCGGTGAAGGATGTGCACCGAGTGCAGATAAACGAGGCCGTTGAGAAGCTGGTAGGTCAGTGATTTCAGAACTGCAGTGGAGATTGGACACCGTAAAGTTTGCGAATGGTGATGTATTAGCTGTAGAAAATCATGCTCGGCATATTCGAATACCATGTAAATCGATTTGTCTTCTAGAATCACTTCTTTCAGCGACACGATGTTCTCGTGGCTGATTTCCCTGTTGAGAGCAATCTCTCGAATTGCGCTTTGGCTGATACCCGTATAGGTCACCACGTCTCCCTCTTTGTCTGGTTTGAACTTTTTAATCGCGTACAGGTTGCCACCTTCCTCGGCCTTGTAAACCCGACCGTATGTCCCACTGGAAATAAAACCAAGGATTTTGTATTTGGGTTGTACGCATACGTGGGAGCTGTCTCGCTTCGAGCGATACATCTGCATCGGGTCCAAGGCATTATCGACGAGCATCCTGGTGGCTCAACATGGAGGAGAACAACCGTACGACTGCGGCCGGGGGATCTCCCTCCCCCTCCCACAAGTCACAGGATCACTTACTAATCTCGTTATTGTCATCACTCATACCGGCATCCGGCAGCTCCTGTCATGCCCTAGGCATATACAGACTGCCGACGTCTCCCGCTTACTGTTACATAACCCGCTTCCGCCACATTTCCGGTTCCGATACACTTCCACTTTGCTTCTGTTTTACTTTTTCCTTCACTGTACACTTTCTATGATCCCGTCGATCCATTATCCATCATTCTTACAATCATACATATGCTTTATGCTCATCCCACCGCTTCCGCTTATGTTCATTGTTGTCTTTCATCCCTTGTACTTCTTTTGGCTATTCTTGTCTTTTCTACTCTCAGATTATTACCTATTGCTACTCCGGTCCTCGAGTACCCTTTATATAGTTCTGTACCATGTCAAGTACAGTAGATTGGAAATATTGCTTAACCCCTTGACTCATGTGCTCTTGTGTGTTCTGGTTTCTTGCTTTATCTGTTTCTTTAACTCTGTTTCTTCACTCCATTGTTTTCACAACCTCTGCAATCTACTATCATCTATTTGGTTCCGCTCTGTTTGTGCCGCATCAGGTCAGCTACCACTTGACCTTCCACTTCCACTCATATCGCTATCAAAGCTGCTTGCACTTAGTGGGTCCTACCCTTTGAGTCGGAAACTCATCTACTCTTAGGCTTACTTGCCGAGTTCATTCTATTGCCTGTATGGACCTGCCATCCTTACATTAGTCCCTTGGACGATCCCGACACGAGTCTTACATCCCATAGGCATTTTGGAACCGTTCTACACTCACATCCTTTCACATCTCAAACCAACTTTCCCAGTTCAGCTGAACAACGGCAGTACGGAGTGTATCCGCACTTTGGTTTCCAGGTTTGTAACCTGTGCTCAAAGGATTCCGCCTAGATCCTTACAGCTCCTCCCTAATCAGGTGTATTAATGCGTCTGCCGGACTTCATTCACTGACTTTGTTCACTGACTTGTTCGTTCACCCAGGCTGACTTGGTGTACTGACTTCACCAACTTACCAATACTGTACCTGTAGTATGCAGATGTTTTGCACTTCCTAATTGCACTGACTATAGGTAATACATTTGTTGGCTTGCTACCTATGTGTGATGCCTTCACTGACTTTGCCCACTGACTATCCTCACTGCTTTAGTATGTGCTATCAGTGCACTGACTATTCTCACAATTTTCTAAACCCACTATGTGCAGTGACTATCCTCACCATCTGAGTAGGTGAAATCAGTGAACCAATTGTCCTGATAAATTTTTAAAGCCCAGTTCACTGACTAACCTCACTGCCTTAGCATCTGCACATCAGGAAAAGTACATAATGCCCAGGCAAACCTAGAATATCCTGAGGCAACCCAGGAATTATCCAAATTCCTAGGCTGCCTCAGTGTCTCTCAAAGGCTCTGGTTGACCCCAGTCACCAGGGAAACCCAGGTTTGAGGCCATATCCTGGGTTTCCTCAGTCATCTTTGGGCTGTCCTCAGGTTGCCCTGGGTTGCCCTGGCTGTCCCTGAGTCTCCCTGAGGTTGGGTTGTCCTCAGGCTGACCTGGGCTGCCCTGGCTATCCCTGAGTGTCCCTGAGGTTACAATTATAAAATCACTAAGAAGTTGACAGTCTGAGGTATGACTCATTTGTGAAGAGTGACTCCTTTTGACTGGAGTCATTTTGAGTGAAGTCAAAAATGTAAAGTTGAAAATGACTCCACCTGACTGGAGTCATTTTTGACATATAAATACAGGCTCATTTTCGGCTCATTTTTGCCACCTCCTCCCTTTATGTCGGAACTTTTAAACTATGCCGATCAGGCCGCATAAGGCCTGATAATGACCATTATGGATTACCTCATCATAAGGGTCTATATGAAAAAAGGTCCTTCTTATAGGATGTAGGCGATTTGCAATACAGGCCTCGTAGCTGGATAAGAATAGAAATTTTATGGTCTTTGCTCTTTTCTACATGTACTTCAACCATATTTGCTTGACCTCAAGTCCCAAAAGCTGAGAAAAAAGCTTGGAAGTTGCCTGGAGGTCGGCCTTGGCTGGGTACAACCTCAACAGAGTTTTGGAAAACACAGGACATAGCAAGCAGATAAAATACATGGGCAATGTATCTACTTGAATGCTCGTGCCCTTTTGAGGCCAACGACACCATGTAGTGTCTTCCTGGCGTCGTCGCTGGTATGGGCAAGTTTTATAAGGCCTGGCCCAATAATATATGGCCATTATAATGGCCTTATAATGGCCGGCCCATTATAATGTCAATTTAAAATCTCCGACATACCTCAGACCCAAAAATAAGTTTCATTCATATCTCCACCAGTTTTTGCTCAATTTTAATGATATAGGGCGTGTTTAGAATCGTTTATGAGTTGTTTCTTTACTATATAAGTTTTAGGGCATTATTTTGTATTTTTGTTACTACCTCCTCCTTCTCACCCAAGCCCTAAAGTGAGTTTTACTCATATCTCCATCATTTCTGACTCGATTTTTCCGTTTTAGGTCGTGTTTAGAGTCATCAATGGTCGTATCCATGCTTTATAAGTTTCAGAGCATCATTTTGTATTTTTGTTACTACCTCCTCCTCCTCACCCAAGCCCTAAAGTGAGTTTTACTCATATTTCCATCATTTCTGACTCAATTTTCCGTTTTAGGGTGCGTTTAGAATTGTCTAGGACCATCTCCATGCTTCGTAAGTTTCTAGTCATTATTCCCCATGTTAATTACCTCCTCCTGCTCACAGGCCCAAAATTGAGTTTTATTCATATCTCCATCAGTT